AGGTGGCTGCTCCTGCAACTCTGAATTCTCCTCTTCTGTGCTCCGTACAGGCAACCATGAGCGATCGAAAGGCAGTGATCAAGAATGCGGACATGTCCGAAGAGATGCAGCAAGATGCTGTGGAGTGTGCTACTCAGGCCTTAGAGAAATACAACATTGAGAAGGACATTGCTGCTCACATAAAGAAGGTAAATGTTTGCTTGCAACGTCCTCCTGAAGTCTCTCTGCAGATGAAAAATCCAGCAGGGAGAATGCTGCTGGGCAAGTAGCTCTAGAGAAACAAGTTCTGGAGACACTAGATAATCAAGTTGGACTTTCTCTGGAGGCTGGTGTCCTTATGTTCCTTTCCCCACCCTTGACGTGGACTTTTCCAGGTGGTTCTGCTTTTCTCTGGCAGTGCCTTCTCCTGAAGCCTTTTCTGCTGCTGTCCCATTGTGCAGGTGAACAGAGAGTGGCAGCTGACTGTCCCTGTGACTGATGAGCTGGTACAAAACACAGGGCCTCTATTGAGCTTATTTAAGAAGTGGTGGCTTGCTGACCTTGTAATAAGTGGTTTTGATTTTTTTTCCCCATGACATGCAAGACAAACTGTTCATGCTAATGGAGAACAGATGGTTCATAGCTTACCATTTGTCAGATTTTCTGTCTAACTCCTACTGGGAGCTGATTAAGCTGTAAGTAGTTGAAGGGTTTGGTTGAGCAGAACACAAACTGTTGCATGCTCTCACAAAAAGTCTCTTCAGCTGACAGCTGTTAGATACTGCAGTACATAACCACTGACTGCAGTTTTACTCATAGTAGACTTGTACACACGACTTCATTTGAAAGTCATAGCAGGCTCCTGACTACAGTATGGCAGAGAATTTTCCATCAAGAGTCCTTTCAACATCCTTGTTGAAAACAACTAATGAAGTCAAAATAATGGCTTAGGCTGTAGAGATTCAGAACAAGCAGTGAAGTTCTTAAAAGTTACTGTTTGAGATCATGGTGTAATTTGGGGGGAAGTTACTTCCCCCAATATGTTTTAAGCTTATTCCTGCTCAACTTGGAAGCACTCTTTTTTTTTTTTTGTCTGACTAGGTAGCAGATGAGTTAAAGTGACGGAAGAGTCTTGCACTTAAGAGCAAGAGCTCCTTCATTGCCTTCTTCCAAAAGTGGTACTTGTTAACAAGTGACGTATCATTGCAAAAAAACCCAAAACATTAGACAAGAATAGTACAATTCTCATGAAAATGCTGAATTTCTAGTTCTCTCTTCTGTAGGAGTTTGACAAGAAATACAATCCCACTTGGCACTGCATCGTGGGAAGGAACTTTGGCAGCTACGTGACTCACGAGACCAAGCACTTCATCTACTTCTACCTCGGCCAAGTCGCTATTCTTCTCTTCAAGTCTGGTTAGAACCACAGACTGTTACCGAAACTTGCACCTGGTTACAGGACTGCGCACTAACTCCAAACAGCCTCCTACCTTCAGCCTTCCTGAGGAAGCAGACCTTGATCTTCAGGTCTTTTGTTGTATTGTTAATAGTCAGGGATTTTGCTGTAGCAGCTGGTATTTTCCTTGTGGCTATAAAAAAAGCAAAAGTGTCTTCCTTGTATTTATTTTCTTTCAAGAGATGGCTTCTTTGCTAATAAAACTGTTGGAACAAGTTTATTCTTTAAGAGTTTTCTCTGCCCTCTTAGTGCTTGCATTACCCTCTTTATTCCACTCTGAATGAAGGAGGAACATCCCCACCTCCGTTTCCACCCTAAAATCCACAGCATCTGAAGCCTGAGCTAATCTATGAATACATCATCAGTCAGTAACTGAGAACAACAGGAGACAGTTTCCCTGAGAGGAAAGAGACTGCTTTTCAGTTCCTGATAAGCCCATTTTCAGTAGGCACAATCTCCAGTGCCAGTTCTGGAGTTCAGATACATGGTGTTGCTTTTCTGATTTCAAGGGAATTGGTGAGTTAAAAGCAATAGTCTTTTCATCCCTAGTTTTCAGAAGAGAAAAATTTTTATACTAGTTTGTTACACAACTATTACTGTAGAATGTAAATTTACTTTCTCTAAGTTTTATTCTGTCTGTCTATCCTGCTACAGAAGCATCTGTTCAACAGTTTAGTTTAAATAACTGAACAAAATGCACAGTATTTTTATGTAGACATTATGGATCTAGCACTGACAGGAAGATTTCATACGGAGCTAAAAACATGTCATCTCATTCGAGAAGACAGTTATGTGGTCATTCACCTTCCAAAAAAAAATTTCGTTCTTAGAAAGGAAGCTTTCTTACAAAGGTTAAAATATTAAGTTAAAAAAGTTGATGCAGAGCTGTTTTATTTCACAAGCCTTCCATTTGCCTTTGAAAGGAGTAAAGAAATCATGGGAAAAAATTCCTCAAAGTCCACATGAGAAAGATAATGACAGCTTAATAAAAATCTAATAAATCCAAGTTACTTGGTATGATATCCTCCATGAAGCTTAGTGAAAAAAAAAGGAGGCATCTTATTCGAAGTTTATTTCTGTGTCCACACCACTGGTAACTGAAGTTGCTTCATTTGTCAGCATTGCTTAGTTTTGGCCATGTTGTTTACGTTGTACTTGAAGGGAAATGCAAGTGTAAGAAACGCTATAGGAGTCACTCGATTCACAGGCTTCTTGAGGAAAAAAGGTAGCTGATGTTCTTCTGGGTCTGACTGCTGAGCAAGTTCTTAAAACTCCTCTTCACTAGTGTTAGAACTCCTCTTCTTGATAGCATTAAAATTCCACAGTTTTCATATTCCTCAGGAAAGTTACACTTCCTGTGTTTTGCTACATAGTAGACTCACAGTTTAAAACCTGAGTGAATGGCAACAATGCCCAAGTTTAAATTCTGATAATCCACTTTTAAAAAGCCTGCATCTTCTATCATTGCCTTCAACTCCTCCTGAAAAATAATAGTTCCATAATTACAACAACCTGAAGGCCTATAAGCCAGCTGCCCGCAAGATTATGCTGGGACAGCGTTTTATGTGTTAGTGAATTCAGAGAAATACTGTCTTACCTGAGGGGGGAAACGTCGGATGCTCTCCACTAGATACTGGTAAGACTTCCAGTCACCAGCGATAACCTCACCCAGAACAGGGATAACCTGGAAACTGTATAAGTCATAGAGCCTGCACAGACAGACAGCAAATGCAGATTAATACAAACAAGGTTAAAACCAACCCTCTCCAACACAAGCTGATTATGTACCACTACGCTATGGTGTGTGTATCTGATCTTAAAAGTGCACAACGAGGTGCCCTCAGAGTCTCTCCATCTCTTATTCTGGCTGAGTACAAATAAGAGAGCCTTGTGACATGGCATAAAGTGCCACCATGTTCCTACCTGGAAAGAAGAGGGTTGCTGACGTGACTAAATTCAAGGCACAGAAATCTTCCTCCTGGTTTCAGCACACGATAGGCCTCCTCAAGTGCCTGAGACAAAGCAGATGCGTAAGTTTGCTTCTTTAGAATAGCACCTGCCTATTATCATGCATGTGATGGCAAGTCAGGGATGAACTGAGGGGAGTAAAGAGAATCCTGATTGGCAATCTCCAATATTTACTTGCAGAGAAGAATCCCAAGTACCAAAAAAAAAAACCAAAAATCCGATAAAACCAAACTACAAACACTCTTGCTGTTACAGAAATAGATTTATACCAGGCTTTGTGTCAAAACCATGCTGTCATGTTTGCAATTTTTCTTCTTTTTCCCTACTCTCAGTTGATGAATGTTTGCCAGCAGAGCTCTTGTAATTACAGACCAAACCCAAAAGGGAGGAGGTGACTCAGCTACAAGAAACTGAAAATGAAAAGAGGGCATGATAGATTTTTTTTTTTTTTTTCAATCAAAAGAGAAGATTTTACTCAACTGTGAGGCACACCCAAAGGATCAAAGAAGTGATACTGGGTTTTGGATGAGCAATGTGCAAGAACAGGGAGGAGGGAGAGGAAAGAAGAAAAACTTTGGCTACTTTGAAAATTCCATCCTATATCCAAAATAAAACACCTAAGAAGAACCAAGACAAAATTCTGTTTACAACTGTAAGTTTTTTCCTACAAGAGCACAGCAGAGTTGTATTCAAGAACCTCTGCAAGTTGTACATCTGCTTGGCTTCAATATTGGGTCATGCTCCTAAGGGATAAAATATCAATGGTACACATATGTGACGGGAGCTCTACAAAAGAATCAGAGGGTTGGATGTGTTTTGTATCAAGTCTCCAGGGAGCTATGCTACCAGATGACTGTATCCATGAAGGCAAAGAGCCTGTGCTTCACAAGGGTGCAGACGAAGCATCGTGAAAAGCCATCCGTATTGAGAGAAGTCCAAAGGCATACAGTTCAAGGTGATCTGGAGACAAATGCTACCCCTTCCACAGAAGGAGCATTGCCAAAGTTGTAACACTCCTCCAAAACACAGGCAACTAGTCCAGCTAGACAGGTGATTTAACTTATCTTCATACCCAAGACAGCTAGTCATTCTCGAAGGACAGATATTGTTTAGAACAAACGGTACTACTTACCCTAATTAAAATCATACTCATTCTTCATGGGAAACTCTACTACCAGCCAGTGTGAAGACACTGAGCAGAAGTGGGCTGAACAGGTTAGTTCAACAGCAGCGGTGGCAGCAGCCACTTGCTTCCCACCCTCTGCTCTGGAAGCTCTGCTGGCTCAGGCAGGAAAACAGAATGGGTCAGGAAGCGTTGGACCCACTACAGGTGGGATGTAGATCAGGTGCTTCAGGAAGATTTGAGACATGCAGACTGACTGCACTGTGCATGTGTAGATCCAGTCATATCATAGGTCAGGAGAAGGTGGGCAATGACTGTAGCATTCAGCCCTTTTTGCCTTAGGAAGAGACTGTGTGGCTTGCCAAGCTGGAAGGATTGGGTGCAACTAATATAAATCTAACTTTTTATGACAAAGGTGGGGCATTTAATTGCATTCTTCGTTCAAACAAGTTGCATGCTACATGCCACTTATTTTGAATGTTTCAGGAGTAGACAACAATGTTCCTTCATCCAAAGGAGTTCCTCCTTTGCTTCCTCTGCTAAAATAAAAAAAACGCAGATAAATCATAAGGACCCCATGACAGAATACACTACAGCAACTTACCAGATCAATACGAGTTACATTTCGGATTCCAAAGGCAATTGTGTAAACATCAAACTTATCATCATCAAAGGGCAACTCTTCAGCATTCCCAAGTACCCACGACAAACCTGTAATAAAAGCCAAGGACACAGAATTGAACTCAGACTGCCCTAGAAAGACTAGAACTTATCTATTCCAGAAGGAAATTATTATTAATAAAAGTTATATTTAAAACTGGTACTTCAATTCTGCATTTTTGTTGGAGGAAAGACACCTTGGTCTAGACGCACAAACCTTTAAAGGCCCTGTACTATACAGCTCTTTCAAGCAAAGTAGTTAATTTTGCAGATGAGCCAAAACATTCTTCTGCATATACACGCATGTTGTGCTTACTGTGCCTTATTCTGCCAAAAAGATTTCACCCAAATCTTGCATTGCAGTGGAAAGCAACTAGCTTTCCAGAAACTGGCTGCCATTTGTTTGTAGCAAAGTTGCAAAAAGAGAATCTCTGCTCAAAAGAGTAACTATAAACAACGATTAATGTCTTGCCATCCAAGAATGGCCAAAACACTTAAAACATTTTGCTAGAAAGCTTCCATACATTGTAGAACATGAAAAGCCACACTGTCGCAATCAGCGCTATCAGTACATGATCCTGTTGCAGCTGCGTTGCTTCCCAAACCCCAACGGATCAAGGCCATGTCTATCTGTGGAGCATGGATGTCCCAAAAATAAGACTGCTCAATTTAAAGTTAATAATTCTTAAAGTCACTGTTTTTGGTGACTCAAACGCAAAACTAGCCGGGAAAAAAAACCAAAACAAACCCACCACAACAGAAAAATACTGAAGTCTTCTGCAACAGAGATCAGCAGTTTCAAAGGGCAGCATGCCAGAAACTGACATGGGGCAGAAAAAACCCAACCAAACAAAAAACTACACAAAAAACAGCTGTTGCCAGAAAACATTCAAATTTAATTTTTACTATATATATTTATAGTTGTAGAAAGTATTATATGAAAAGAAGCATGCAACATTATTAAAACAGCAATTATTAGTGTTATTTAAACCTAGACAGTTTGAAAAGACACCTAAGTGAGTATGAAGAAAAGGTTTTGAGCAACAGTAAAACTGTCCCTCAGAATATCCTGTAGTAAAATCACAGGCCAGGAGTTTGTAAGTGGATACACAGAAGGGGCTATCTGCACGCAACAGGAGGAACTGGGGCACGTGCAGTGCAGCCTACCACTCCCACTGGCCAAAATGCACCATCAGCGACTGTGCACCACACGTGTTCCTTTTCACCATGCACAGTCCCCACTGTTGGTGAACGTACAAAAGAAAATAGTGAAAGAAAACTCTGTCCCTTACAATTTTAAGAACAAATTTCAGACCTCAGACAATCAACAGACAAGCAAGCTCAGAAATGCAATTACTACAACACGGAGGAATCACATGAAAACCAGAAGGTAGGACACGTTAAATGGGTATGTGCTGAACAAGGGAGTGAAAAAGGGTAAGAGGTCAGAATTGTGGCACAGTGGGGCATAAGGCAACCCAGGCAACAAGATGACACTTGGGCTTCTACAGCTATGATACACAGAGGAAGAAAATTAAAAAAGGTAAATACTCATTTTGAGAATTTGGTTAAGTCACAAAAATACCTAGAGTGCAGCCAATTAAACAAAACGCTTTTATTTATGGTAGCTGGGAGGCAGCATCAAGCTTTATTTCAGGTCCTAAGCTACAGTCATAAAGCTTTTATACTTACAATGTTGGTACAACTCAGGTGTTCCCAAACTATGATACATAAAAAGAGCTCTGGACAGGCTTGCAAGCTGCTCAGATAAGCGTGATGCATGCAGTCTGCCAGAGCTGGAAGAACCAATGCTTTCACAATTAGTTTGGTTTTTTAAAGAAAATTGAGAGGCAGGCAGGCAACGGCCTGGGATAACCCACCAGCAGGGAGCAAGAGCAGCTGAGAGAACCAATGCCAGCAGCTTATCTTTCAGCCCCTTTCTGCTACTGAGCTGTTCTGTATGTCCTTCAGCGTACACAGTTTGTAGGCTGAAGTCCCAATGGGGGTGTGGGAGCAGGGCGCAGTGAAAGGACGTGCAGGAGATCTCATAACACACACGCAGAGGCTGCCCAGGGCATAACTAATGGCGGTACCCAGGGAAACAAAGTTTGGGAACCTCCTGGTATACTTTACATTGCTAAAATATTTGCCGAATATCCGTAAATGAAGAGAGGATAAACAACTATCATACAAACGCTGAGCCACAAGCAGGACTTCTTTCTCTATGTCTTACTTCATAAAATCAGGCTTTTCAATCAGGATTGGCGTGGTCCCCAACAAATTCTAGATATCAGTGAATTAATCCATTGACCTGCAAACTAACATTTGATATAATTCAGTTTCTCTGAGTATTATTAGCATATGCTCTAACCATGGAAAGTTTTATAGGTTCACAACACCCTTTAGTTCTGGCACTTTTTATTTGCTGCCTTGATTCTTAAAATACCCATTACAAGATCTTTAGTGTAATCATTCTAGGGCTGAGATCTTTTGCATTATCTGCCTCAGTAAAATCAGATTTGTTAGCACAGATATAAACAGCAATTTTCGATTATTTAACCAATTTTGAAGGATCAAGACCTCGTGGACACTTCCATATATTTATTTCTGAAAGTTCAAGTATTATCCAAGAGGATCACTGTACATCTGAACAACTTACTACATACATGCTCACTGAAAAAGTAACTCAACGCTGGCAAATATGCAAGCACAGCTACAGAATACACCATGGCTATATAATGTATACTGCAACCCTGAAGTGGCGATTACCTGATAGCAAGAATTTGATGTATGATAGCCATCACGCACGCTACTGTAATGGTACAACACACAACTCACCTTCGGAGTAGCCAAGGTGCTGTGCCTTCTGCTTCCCAACTTTTAACATTTCTTTGTTAATGTCACAGACAACCACTTGAGAATCCCCTAGGGACTTAAATTTGTCTTCCCGGTAACTCTCAGAAATTTCCTGCCATGATAAATTCTGATGGCGCTTAAGCTTCTGCTGGAGCTGGCGTTCTCGTACAGAGCGAACATAATTAATAAATCGAAAGGCGATGTCACCTGCATTTGTTTTAAAATAAAGATATGTGTGTTGGAATGTTTTCTGACTCCAGGAAGTTGGAACATAAGGCTTTGAACATCAAACTGAGTTAATTTTTATATATATAAAAATAAAACCCACACACATGGGAAGGGAGAAAGAAACACAGAGAGAGAGAGTGTATATTAAAAGTATATATAAAGGGAACACATTAAAAGCAAGAAGTCCATGACTTCCTACAAATGGAAACAGTTTTCTATAACGTATCATGGCAGTACTATTAACACTTTCAGAGCCTTGGAGCAAGATATTACAAAACACAAAGAAGTTAGCTCTCAACCCTCCTCTGTGACAATCAAGTAGATGCTTCACTAGTTTTAGGGACAGGGAACTG